CCCCAAAACCCCAAAACCCCAAAACCCCAAAACCCCACGTGCTTGGATTTCGAAGTACAGATTTTTAAATTTCTATGAACACAGCAGGGCTCGAAATAGATGCAAGCTCTATACATTTTTAGCGAAGGACTCTTTAGGCAAATCTTTCCTACTCAAAAGGGTCATTTCATCTCCTAGAATTGGTGAAAAAGGCTTACCTTGGAACACTTGTATTTTAAAACATGATCGATAACAACATCTATAAAATTTGAGATTCTGAATTTATTTTGAAATTAAAGAATTGAATTAGACTTACCCTTCATATTCTAGAAGAAGACCTTTGGGAGCAAAAATTTCTCTAGATTTCTTAACTAGAATTCTTACTCATTCAGACACTTAACTTCATATTCAATTTCTTGCATAGCTTCTCGGATTCAAATATATGGAAGAATTCAAGATAATCCTCAAGTAAGAATACCTAGAACCAATCCAAACCCGTAATATCACAATGTGCAGGGCCAAAATTGGAAGAGGACATCATTAATTCTTCCAATGGCTCTTTTGAATGCTAAAGTATAGGTACAAAGACTTACGCCTTTTCTCAATAAAATCTCCAAGTGCCTCCTCATCGTACCTAGTTGAGTAGGAAGGAGCTAGTCCATTGATAAATGTGCAAGAGGTTGGAACAACTCTGAACCTAAAAGAGCAAATTTTATGATATTTCTCAGAAGTCACTAAAGCTAAAGAAATGAACTAGATTAATCCTAGCAAGATGTTTTAAAATCTTACAAAACTTCTCCATTACGATTCCTTAGAGGATGATTTTCAGTGATCTGTCTGGTAGTGCCAGTGTCTCCTAGATTAATTTTAGCCAACATCGTCATAGGTTTTATGGGCGGGTTTGGAACATATTTGGCTTAAATTTTATCAAAGGTTAGACACTTACGGTTTTCTAAATTTTCCATTTCAATATTATTAAAACTTTTAGGGGTTTTGGGGTTTTGGGGTTTTGGGGTTTTGGGG